GGGAGCCGGTGGTGCGGTATGGGGGCTCGGCACAGCTGAACTGCTCCCTGGCCTGCACGGGGGGTACGGTGCAGTGGAAGGGGCTGGACACCAACCTGGGGAGCATCACCTCCTTCCCCACCCACAGCATCCTGCATGTCAGCAGCGCCGTGGTCGCCACAGGGGGCACCAAGATCTGCCAGGGGACCTGCCACGGGCAGCGCTACCAGCACGCTGTCAACCTGAAGGTCTACGGTAAGCATCCCCCAGCCTGTCCCTCACTACCTCCCCAGCAACGTCCTGCATCCCCTGAGGCAGCCTGCTTCCTCATGAGCAGCAGTGCCAAAAATCACCGCTTGACGCTGCAATTCCTCTCTCAGCCTTCCCGGAGACGCTGCAGCTGGAGGTGGACCCCCCCACCCTGGAGCCGGAGCAGCCCGCCAGCCTGCGCTGCTTGGCCCAGCAGGTGTACCCGCTCACGGGGCTGGTGCTCACCTGGTACCGGGGGGACCAAGCGCTGAAGGAGGCAGACTTCGATGTCATGGAGACCGACGAGGAGCTGTTTGACATCATGTCCACGCTGCTGGTGGCCGGGAAGGAGGTGGGAGAAGGGGTGGAATTCAGGTGCCAGGTGACGCTGGACATAGGGCAGGAGACCTTCACCCGGGTGGCATCTGTGATCGTGAGCACTGGGGGTGAGTGCCGGGGTGAAGCTGGGGACTTGGGTTCGCACGCTGCCCCGTCCGCTGAGCTGACCCCCCATTGCCCTGTGCTGCTTGAAATAGTTTTGCTGGAATGGGAGCGGCCCGCATTTCTGCACTGCTCTGTAAATCTCCTGGCCCCATCCCTGTCCCCGTCCCCACTGCTGTGCCAGCAGTGCCTGTTTGCTCCTGCTCGCTGCCTCTCCCTGCCCAGGGCTGGCTGCATTCGTGGGGTGGTGTGGGCGGAGGGGGCTGTCACCCCATGGGGATAACATGTGCCAGAGAGGCCCCGTTGTGGCTCTGAGCCGCGGCGAGGCCGCCCATGACCTGCTGTGTTCGCAGCTGTGACGGAGCAGCCTGTGGCCATGGCCACCTCCACAGGGAGCCCCCGGACAGCGGCGGCTACGACGGGGAGCCCCAGCACAGCCAGGCCCGTGCCCACTACGGCACTGCCCCCAGAGCCGAGTGTCCCCACGTATGATCCCACCACAGCCCTGACCACCACAC